GGAGTTTGGAAATTCTGTTCCACATATCACCTTAGGTTTCCCTTGCAACCTACTCCTTCCCGTTTTGAGCTCAGATCAAAAAGACTCCAAGGAGTCCTCCCTTCATTGTAAAAGATGACTTTGGGGCAGTCTGCTCTCCTCACCCCACCCGGGTGTGGCCCTCCCCAAGGCCGGCAGTAAGCTTGGGGTCCCCAAGGGCCCTGGTTCCTAGCACTCTACCCCTGAGAGCCGTGAGAGTCATTCCTGAAAACTTCTCAGGCTCTGAGTACACCCAATAGTGATTTTCTTCTTGGGTTCCGCCCTGGAGCAGAGATATGCAGTCAGGAAAATGTCACCCAACCAGTCTCTCCATCTGACAGGTCAGCCGGAAGCACTCGTCCTACTGGGTGTCCTACTGGATGTTCTTCTTCGAAGAAAGCCTCCCCTACTAGAAAGAGTGTCTTCTCTTAATTAAATTTTTAACCTCCACAGACCCAACTGTTGATGGCAGTAAAATCCGGGTGATGCTGAACTTTACCAAGGACTCTATTTTTCAGCTTCCTTAGCGGCCACGGGTGTAATTAAATGCCATTCTTCTAATGACACACATTTTCCCTTCTAGCTGCTTAAAGTTTCTTCTCTGCTAAATAGTTTAGCAATTATCTCTTTGGTCACCATCTACCTCCTCCAGGGATGGCCTGCCAGAGTGACCTGTACTCCTCCTTCCATTTGACAGAGTCCCTGTTAAACAGAAAGAACTCTTGCCATCTTGAGTAATGTCATGATGTACCTTATTTATTTATGGCCCTGGAATGTGGTTTCTTTTCTCACTTTAAATTAGGGCTAGTGGGGACAAGCAATATCAAGGTGGCCATAATTTACCAAAATGCCAGCTTTTCAAAAATCTTAAACGTTCAACATTCCAGAATGTAGACAGAGTAAGAGGAAAGGAAACAAAATTTGTCATGATCTTGCAAGGAAGGCTAGTCTTGGGCGGAGACAAGAGCTCATATTTACTCAAGGATTTAAATTTAGATACTGTCATTATCTCCAAGTGAGGCTGTAGATTCCCAATGTGTGTGTGTGTGTGTGTTAGTAGGTCATTTATCAGTGTAGTAAACATTTAAAATATATCACAATGTAATCCTGCTTCTAGTATTGCTTTACTTGTTCATTTAACACATCAGGAACAAACAAGGTTGGTCTGAACCAGCCTCTTCGAGGTCCTGGCTCACGGGCCCATCACTAGCGGGGGGACAAAGCGAAAGAGCGGCTTGGAAGACCGGTTTCGGGGAGGAGCAAAGTCAGAGTCAACCCCCAAGTCGCGACCTGGAGGAGGGCGGAGCGGGGCCGCGGCGGGCGCAGAGGGGGGCGGGGCTGCGGGAGGCCAGGAGAAAAGGCCGGCACGGGGGCCCGCGGTGTCCACCGCGGGGGCCGGTGCCGGGTCTGGGCCGGAACTGCCGAGGCGACCTCCAGCGCCAGGCGGGGCCGACTGCGCCTCCTTCAGCTGCTGGGCGCCCGCGGCCTCCAAGCGCCGGGACGGCCTGGCCTGCGCGCTCTCGGAACCGGCGGCGCGGGCGCAGGCGCGCGCGCGGGGGTGGCAGTGGGGGTTAGGGGCGGATTTTCATTTTTGTTTTCCTCTTTTCTGTTGCATGACGATTACCAGAAAGTCCCGGGGCGGAGCGACGGGCAGACCCCTCCACTCTGTCCGGCACGTATTTTCCCAGGAGGGCGCGCATTCCTCCCTGGAGCCCACCCCTTAAAGCAGTTTTCAGGCTACGCCTGTGTGGACATAACTCCCCAAAGTAAAAAGCTTGTTTAACCGTTTCGAAGTTGATACTTTGGGAAAGGAGAAACCCTCCCGCGGGGCAGAGGAGATTCCAGGGGGAGTGTAAGGAACTCACGAGTTCTCACGCGAGGAACGCCTCTGTCCTCAAGCCAGTGGCGTCCAGTTTGATAGGGCCAAGACCCCTGGGTTTACCCCTCCCAGCTTTCTGGGTGCCCGCCCGGGAACAGCTTTGGGGCCATGCCGATTTCACCCACTTTAACCTCCTTGCGTCCTGATTTTTGTGTCTCCCATCTAGATCCTCGACTCTGATTCAGAGCTTCTCAGGGTTGGCTGGAAACCACAGCCCAGCCTCCCGATGCAGTCTGAATCCGGCTGGTGTGAAGAGGAGACCCCTTCCCTCTTGTGGGGTTTGGATCCTGTGTTTCTAGCCTTTGCAAAACTCTACATCAGGGATATCCTGGACTTGAAGGAGTCCCGCCAGGTGCCAGGTATGTGGCTTGTCAGCCTGGAGGATGCCCGGTACTGCATCTACACCCCATGCTGCCTTCCTTAAAGCTGCAGAGATCTGGGGCATAGGGGCTTTCAGGAGAGACTTCCCTGCTGCAGGCTTTGTAAATGACCCAGCCTGGACCCTCAAATGAGTTCATTTCTATGCAACTTAAAAACAGTCTAAATCTTTTTTATTTTTATTTTGTTAATAGATGCTTGAGGGAGTAACCTTTCTACTGAGGAACGTTTTTACTTGGTTTTGAGGTCTTTCATGTTTAAAAATGCTCAGTTTTTTCTGGGTCTGCTCTAAGGTGGAAAGCTTACTGGACCAGGCATTCCTAGGCATTGCTGTTTCCTGATGGAGCCACTTACCTGGTCTGGGTCTGTGACTCGCCTGTAAAGGTTAGGTATCTTCTTTGTAAGAATGGCAATTAACTATGCCCGATTTTTCTATGGTGCTTTCTTTTGTTTTGAATTCATCAGAATAAAAATAATGTAAACTCCCGAGAGGAGGGACGTCATCTGCCTTGTGCTTACAACAGTGCCTGGCAGGTAGTGGGCCAGCAAGAAATAGTCATTGGAGCAACAGAGCATTACATATGTAAAGTTAAAGAAATCGCTTTTTTTTTTATTAGAGTAGTGGTCACTAAAATAGGCTCTTCCTCCCTAAAAATATAACAAATTCAGTTTGGGGTAGATTTAAATAATTCATATAGCTGTGGGTGGATCTTCACGTGTTTCCTATGAGAAGTTTAGTTAAACTCTCTTTGCTATTTTGCATGAATAGCAAGCTGTGATTCAGAAGTAGCCAAGAATGTCAAGTATGCACAGTTTTAATGAGACAACGTTTTGTGTTTTTCCAGTTCTATGTACAAATATATTTGGATGACCTTATACTAAAGCCTTTTGTACAGATTTTCCATCACACCTTTATTTCCTAATTATTCTTGGAAATGGTCTCTTTTTTCCTTGGAAGGCAGCCATCCTCCCCCACGGTTGTCTGTTTTCCAGAACAGTCTGGTATTCTCCATAGCTCATCTCCATGGGAAGAAATGAATTCACACCCCAAATGCCAGCCTTTCTTACGGATCTCCTGTAGGTGCTCAAGGTGTCATCAGGGGCTTACCTCCTCTGTGAGGGAAGGACTTTATGGTGTATTAACAACAAACCAAGGAAACTGGTGTGTCACTGGTGATAATGCTTCCGACGTGGTTTTTAAAATGCAGTCTCATGGTTGAAGCAGACATCAACAATAATTTCACAGCATGATCTTCTTTAGACTGTACTCTTGGCTTCTGAGGGGTGGGAAATGCCACTAGTCTAGGTTTTCATTTTTGTCTTGTTTTGCTTTGTTTGTCATAAAGAAAAAACTTTTATTTTGACTGCATAAAATTTAGAAATATTTAAACAGTAAAGAATACCTTAAACGAAATAACAGAAGTTAACACCAAAAAATGATAAAACAAGAAACGAATGTCTCATAAAGAATTTGGCTGGCCTTTGTCCTGATACCTGGGAAATCTTTGGATTTCAGGAATGAGAGGCATGTCTTTGTTATTCACGGTGGCCCCTTGAACCACACTTGAGTTTCTGCTAACTAAGGTGTCTCATGCTGGGCCCCTGGGTAGTTTCAGGGTGGGGTATGTCCATGCCTGAAAAGCATGATTAGAGGGTTGGGTTTTGAGCTGGTTACAGCAGCCCCACCCCTTGGGCCAGGAGGGAGGCTGGAGATTGAGTTGTTATGTGGATAGTGGTTCACTCATGTCTGTGTAATGAAACCGTGATAAAGCTCTAGACACTGAGGCTTGGGTGAGCATTCCTGGTAATCAAACATCAGTGTGTCGGGAGGGTGATGTGTCCTGAGGACGTGGAAGCTTCACGCTTGGATTCCCCCATACCTTGTCCTCTGCATCTCTTCGTTTGGCTGATCCTGATTTGTACCTTTTATTATAAAACTATACTTGTGAGGATGGCACCTTCCTGAGTTCTGTGTGTCATTCTAGCAAATTATCAAACCTGAGGGAGTTGTGGGAACCCCTAAATTTGTAGCCAGTTGGTTAGAAGTGTGGATGCCCTGAGGACCCTGAAACTTGGGGTTGGTGACTGAAGTGAGAGCAATCTTGTGGGATTCTGTGCCCTTAACCTGTCAATTTGACCTTGCTCTGGGTAGTTAGCATCAGAATTGCTTTCAAAATGATTGCAAAATGTCAACTTCCCTACATTAACCTGTGAATTTGGGGTTAAACTAATAAAAAATATTACGAAGTTGGACTGTGGTGGTGGTGTTTAGGTTTTGGGTTTGTTTTGTTTGGTTTGATTTGGTTACAGCTCACAGCATACAGAGATAGTCCGTATTATTCTAAATGTCTCTATCCATGTCAGACTTTAATGATGGGATAAATAATAGTGAACCCTTTATTGAAATCAAAATACAATACCTGTATTATCTAATTCTAGAAACTCCAATGAAGTGAAAATAATGTATTCATAAGAATTGTATTAAATGAATCTGTATTTTAAAAAATATCTTTAAGCATTTTATTTTATTTTAATTTTTTTGAGGAAGATGAGCCCTGAGCTAATATCTGCCCCCAATCCTCTTTTTTTGGAGAGGAAGACCGGCCCTGAGCTAACATCTGTGCCCATCTTCCTCTACTTTTTATATGTGGGACACCTGCCACAGCATGGCTTGACAAACGGTGCCATGTCTGCACCCGGAATCCGAACCGGCAAACCCTCAGTCGCCAAAGCGGAATGTGAGAACTTAACCACTGCACCACCAGGACGGCCCCTATCTTAGGCATTTTGATGCTATGAAACTTCAATGAGAGCAATTGTAGCATCAATTAAATAACAGTTGGACTAGAAGGAGATAAATCAAAAGTACTTTTAAAAGAGAGAAAACACAGGCAGATGCCTTGCTGTGGTTGTGACTGTTTAGGAGGCTGCTGCTGGGAACACTGAATCATACCTGCCTGTGACCCTGGATCCCTGAGCCCTCCCAGCATGACCCTCCTCTCTCTTGGGGACCTGAAGATCTATTGGATCCCCTGATATGTCTGAGCCTCTGGGCTGCATGTGGATCAGAAGGAACAAAAGGACCACTTGGGAAAGGCTGCAAGTTAAACTCAACGTTAGCCAGTGTCTGTTGTGATTGTTTTCTTTTCTTAGCTCATTGAGCTTTCTCTCAGTCCACAGAGCCGCCATCCAACTTTCTTGAGCTCTGGTCTCATAGAGGAGACTCTTGTGTTGATAGAAGGAAAGATCCTCTCCATTTCTTTTTCTGTATCGTTGCCCGTCTTATAGAGGTTGCGCTTCTGAGATATAGTTCATGTTTCTATTCACTTTGGGAAGTTTTTTCTTTATTTCCTAGCAGTGTATTTCCTCCTTAGTCAATTTTCTCTGAGTGATTTTATTCAAACCATCTGTTATTTTCTTCTAAATTTGTTCTCCATTGTTCTGTGGTGCTTTTAAGATTTTTTTTTTTTTGCATCAGTCACTTGAGATTGGAAGGATTTTCTGCGTCTTTGAGTGACTTTGTCTGTCCTTCAAAGCGAGCCATTGTCAGTCTATGAGAGAAAAGCTGAGGGGGCTCCACTTTCTGTCCATTTTCAAGAAGGTCTGTTGTGTCCTTCAGTGAAGACCTGGTTGGGGTTTTTATCAAGTGTTGCCCAGTACAGAGTCGGTCACCTCGGAGCACTGGTCTCCGCCACAGATGACTTACGGATGTCATTGGCTTGTGTGATTGGTTCAGTCTTCTCATGGCCGTTTCCATGTGCTTCAACCCAGGCAGAACACCTTTTGGCTAGCTCTTTTCCCTTTCTTAAAGTGTGCTGGCTGTTTACTATGAAAACCCCCATAGCAGCACTTACCAGGGTGTCCCAGGGAAACCCAAGGAGTCCTGGGACTGTCTCAAGCTTTCAGACATCACCAGCAGAGCACCCCACAGCAGCTCCAGGACCAGCCGGAAACACATGTTGGGGGCAGGCAGCAGGCCCTCCATGGATACAAAGGGCTCCAGGGCTCTGTCTCCAACTGCCAATGTCCTGGGGGCCACAACTGACCACAAGGAACCCTGTGGAGTGTTCTGTCTCTAATGCAGGCAATTGCCTGGCAACCAGGACAGACCATCCGTTGGGCTGGGGGAGGGGGAGGTGAGTCTGGTTCTAGAAAATGGTTCTCTCTAACTTTGCTCTGCTTAGTGCAGAAACAGAAAGTGACATTAGGGGCTGGCCCGGTGGCGCAGCAGGTAAGTTCGCATGTTCTGCTTCGGCGGCTCGGGCTTCAGTGGTTCAAATCTGGAACGCAGACCTATGCACCACTTGTCAAGCCATGCTGTGGCAGGTGTCCCATATATAAAGTAGAGGAAGATGGGCACAGATGTTAGCTCAGGGCCAGTCTTCCTCAGCAAAAAGAGGAGGATTGGCGGCAGATATTAGCTTAGGGCTAAGCTTACTCAAAGAAAAAAAAAGAAAAAGAAAGTGGCATTAGTTGGACAGTGCATTTGGAAAAGCAGAAAGGGCTGACTGGAGCGAGAGACCAGCCGGAGGCTCAGGCTGCTCTAAGCCCCAGCTGGCTCTACAACAAACCTGAGAACCAGAGCAGTGCTGTGCCGCAGCCCTTCTGTGCACACAGCATGTCAGGCACGGGGGAGGAGGGCATACACTTCAGTACAGGACTCCGTTCCCACGCCCCGAGGGAGGCTCATTCTCCCAGTTTAAACTTCCTTCTGCCACTGGGAAGCCTGAGCATCTGAGCATGCCTGCAAAGGTCTGCAGGGACCCTTCTCCTCTGAAGGCGCCCTCTCTCCTCTGTGTTCCGTCAATGCAGACAGGCAGGTGCACAGGACCCCAAGGTGTCATCAAAGGTAGTAACTGAAACACCAGGATTTCAATCGCAAGAGTTCAGGAGAAGTGAATTGGAACTGTCTTGCTCTTAAAATTTCATGGGTTTTCTATGGAGCCAGTTTGTCCCCATTCAATCCAAGTGTTCCTGGATGGAGGCACCCCTTCTCTGGAGATGACACAGTGACCCAGGCTCCTTCTCTCGTGTGGCCCTGCCATTTCAGCTCATGGTCCCCAAGGTCACCCTGGGCACAGTCTCCAATCCACTAAGTCATGTTTGGAAGTATGCCTCTGCCAAGAGAGAGGGCCCTTCTTTTGGCTAAATTTGCCATGTTTTTTTCTTTCCTTCAAACCATATCTCACTTTCCTAGAATCTCTGGCTGACTGAGGCTTAGAGCCTCCTTGTCCCTCCCCTGGGACTCGGCTGTGAGTGACTCGTCCCCAGCCCTTTTATCTACATGGGAAACAAGAGGACCGTCAACAGAGGCCAGTCTAGGGGTTCTGAAGGGCATCGGGGTTCAGGCCACGGGTCCCCCATGGATGAGGAGAAGAGAGGCTCTGACCAGGCTTGGTGGGGAGGGGGTTAATGTACAGTCAAATGGCCGAAGTGATATCTGTTTCTTTGTTTACAATTCATGTATTTATTTAAAAAAGAAGTCACCAATTAAAAGTTTATAGCCTCTTTCTGAAAATAAAGAGTTCAGCCATTGTGGGGAGGAAAAAAGAGGCTGGAGAGGATTTTGGTCAGAACTTGAGCTGCAGGTGACAGGAACACAGAACGCGTAGCTGAAGCCAAAATAGGGAGTTCAGGTGAGGATATAGGGGGCCCAAGGAGGGAAGCTCTGCAGGAGCCAGGGCGGCACTGGGACCTCGGGGTGGAATCAAGGACTCACCCCTGCCAGGAGTCCCTCTGTCTGTGTCCTGTCCCCAGTCCAAAAAAGGCCTCTGGGGGTCAGTGTGTAGAGTTCACCTTCTCACATTTCCCCTTTAAGGGGGGACCCGCTTGCTGGCCTCTGGCATCTAGGTTTTAAAAATAGAGTTTTAAAAAGAGAAGCTTTTGAGATGTAATCTGCTGGCCCCAGAGGGTAGCGTTTTGTAACCTTTGTTTTTTCTTTTTGAAAAAAAAAATGCTGCTCCTAATTCATAGAAATGATGACTGGTTTCCTAGAAAAACACCAGTAAGGGAACCAAAGAACCATTTCTCGTGGTTTCCTCTCTTCTTTTTCCAGTCCCTTGAGACACAGCACTGTTTTTGGTCACATAATAGAATGACTGTTTCCAGGCCCCTTGTGAGAGTTCTCCACGGAGGTCCATTTCATTTTCGCAAGTGCAGAGAAGATTGACCAAATGCAGTTGGGCAACACTGGTTTTCTCTTTTCTGTGCTAGTACAGGCTTCTTTAGAGCCAGGCTTTCCACTTAGGACCCCTGAGGGACAGACATCTGAATTTCTTGGGGCTTGCCATGTGTCAAGGGCTGATTTTTAAGTCTGGCATTTCCACAAGCAGCATACCACTGATTTTTCACTTCCACCCCCGACCCGACCCCACCCCCTCCCCCACAGTTAACATCATTGAAGCAGAAAATGTAATCATCTGTTGTATGGACTTTCCCTTTTTCAGGTATATTTTTTTACAACGGACATCCAATAAAGCAGGTAGATATCTTGGGAACCGTAATTGGAGTGAGAGAGAAAGATGCTTTCTACAGTTATGGAGGTAAGAACAGTTGTGTTTGACGATGAGTTTATGTGGAAGGACCCCACTTAGCTGAATGTTGAATTTGAAACATCCCCAGCCTTCAGAGCAGATGGGGACTCTGACAAACCCCATGCGCTTTCCTCTGTTGGGAGCCCTTTGGAGCGACTGATGTGGACTAAGTATCAAACAAGGCAACGGGTAGGAATGATACTGATGAATACTGTCCAGTGACAGCTGCTGGGGAGTTAGGAGGCGGGAGAATTAAAATGCAGCAGTCTGGGATCACTGGGTGATCAGGGACAGACCCCTGATACCTGAGGACATAGCTGTAAATAGCAAAGGATGGTAGTGTATGTTTATATTGATACCTTTAAAAAGAAAAGGCCAGATTAATATTAAAGTAGACTCTTTAAGAAGGCAGGGAGGTGTGTGAAAAATAATTTACAAGATTTATGTCTAGAACAGTTAAAAAGTAAAAGTCTTCTGGTACTCAAAGGTGTAAATATCCATGATCAGAAAATCTCCCTTCCCGCTTCATGGAAACTAAATAGGGGGTTTCTATAGTTTGAATACCAGCGAATTGTTACAATATGATTTTAGTGTCACAGGTGTTGATTTTTTTCAGAGTTTAATGTAAGTATTTTAATATACTGCCTTGTGCAGCTCTAAGATTCTCTGTAGTTAAGAGGCCAAGTTGGACGTTTTGTGGGAAGCTTAATTTTGAATTCCAAACCGTCGCTGTAATTGACATTGTCACTTTTGTGGTATTGCCTTGTATTTATCTTCTTCCTCTACTTGGGGAAAGACAGAAGGCGGTTGAACTGAGTGACCAAGAAGATTTCCCTGGCAGTCTGTGCATGATTGATAATTTACGGATCCCATATCACTGCATTTCTTCCACATGTATTCATTTTCCTGAGGATGACTGTTTTGGGCTTGTAAAATAACATGTGAGAAATGAGATTTCTTATGCCCTCTGCTTTGTCCCAGCATTTTTTTTTTTTTTGAGGAAGATTATCCCTGAGCTAACATCTGCTGCCAATCCTCCTCTTTTTGCTGAGGAAGACTGGCCCTGAGCTAACATCCGTGCCCATCTTCCTCTACTTTATATGTGAGATGCCTACCACAGCATGGCTTGACAAGCGGTGCCACGTCCGCACCCCGGATCTGAACCAGCGAACCTGGGACACCGAAGCAGAATGTATGCACTTAACCGCTGCACCACCGGGCCAGCCCCCAGGATATATATTTTTAATATTCTGAAACAGATCACCTTGTCAGGCATCCCCGTAGTGGATCTCTTCTCTACTTTATTTTACCAAAGATATTGGTTCTCTTTTTCTCCAGATAATTGAACAAGTATTCACTAAGTTCCCACAGCATACCCAGCTGTAGGCAGATACATTATCTGTAGTACAATATGGTACTTCCTCTCCAAATACCAGTGATGAAATAATAGAATCTTTTAGTTTATAAAGCATTTTTTTAAAGATTGGCACCTGAGCTAACAACTGTTGCCAATCTTTTTTTTTTTCCTGCTTTTTCTCCCCAAATCCCCCCAGTACATAGTTAAATATTTTTGGTTGTGGGTCCTTCTAGTTGTGGCATGTGGGATGCCGCCTCAGCATGGCCTGATGAGCAGTACTGTGTCCGCACCCAGGATCTGAACCAGTGAAGCCCTGGGCCACTGAAGCGGAGTGCACAAGCTTAACCACTAGGTCATGGGGCCGGCCCCTTTAAAGCATTTTTACATGTATAGTTTCATGTTATTCTCCCCCTAATCTTGTGAAATAGAAAGGACAGATATTATTTCCATTTTGTCGTTGAGAGAACTAAGGCTCAGTTACTTGCTCAAGGTTCCACTCGTGGGTCCGATCTATTTACTGACTCCAGTGTGCTGAATAGTCTCCATATAACTCAATTTGATTTTTCTCTTCCCCATGTCCCCTCTCCCCCACAAAATTTAATTTTCTGTCTTTTAGATGAAATAAATGAGGCTGTTTGAGGACATTAGTCCGGGCCCTAGAACCAAGCCGGATATTATGCCTGTGACCTAAAGGGGCTTCACTTACCCCTTTTCCTGTTATAAAACGAGGAGGGTGATGTGTCTGACTCTTCCCCAATAAGCATTTCCCTTAGAGTGGATGTCGTGAGAGCATGACACGCCTGTGGGCTATGGGAAGATGAAAAGCACCGAAGGCTGGAGTAATTGAGAATAGAAACGCTTTTGCGACTTAAATTCTCGTGAGGCCTGTTCGAGGGAGAGCTGTACTCTTCCTGCTGTCCTCAGGCCCAACTTGTCTCTTGGGCCACCTGCCACGTGGCCCCTCCTGCTGTCCTGGGTTCTGCTCCGCCTGACGCACCACAGCCTGTGCTGGGGGTGCTTCCTGCTCACACTGACTCGTCCAGTGGTTGGAACAAAAGGCCAGTGGCCCAGGCGGTGCTTCCCAGCTGGGGAGGACGTTGTGAGGCACTGCAAGGATGCTCCCCTTCCGGGGCATTCCAGCAGCCAGACCTCAGGGCGCCAGCAGAGGGTCTCCCAGGGGAGGTTATAAGCCAGGAAGTCAGGGTTTGCTGGCAGTGCCCCAAGCACACAGAGCACCTGGCAGCTACTCAAGCTCAGACCTAGAAGCCTGGGAAGCTACAATCAAGACCATGATGTCCTCACATTTTCTAGAACAAACGTTTGTGTGCTAATATTTTTTGACTTTCCATTCTAAATCAAGATTTTAAACTGGCCAGAGAAGTGGTGTCCCTGGAGGTGTCATACATTTTTTTAAATTCAAAATGTCCTAATTGATTTTTTTGCTTCTTAAAATGATACTCATTATAAAAAAAATTTTTTTTTAAGCTAGAGAAAATTTTAGTGAAGGACGTAAAACACATGTGAAACCCTGTAAATCAGACAAAAGCAATGTTTGGGTGAGCATCCTTCCTAATATTTCTAACATGTTCCTAATATTGAAGCAATACAGATATGCCTTATTTCCTCGTTACTGCTACGCGTATTTCTTTCTCATAATATTTCTGGAATTAGACCTTCAGTCAACGTATATATTGAACATGGGGTTCCTTCCCCATACTCTAAATTAAATGCTATCAGCATTTTAATGTCTTAAAATCATTTATGTCAAAACACATTCTTTAATATTTTACAGAAATTAGGTTTTATATAAGATATTTGATTTCTCTTTTACAGTGAGATATGAATATCTTTTAACAGCAATGAACAGAGACCCTCATGATAACTTTTTATGCTCATGCTATGCCATTGTAATTTATTTAACCAATTCCATATTTATAAACAATTAGGTTATTTCCAACTTCCAGTAACGTAAACAAGATTGCAGTGAACAACCTTATACAGGATGTGTATATCTGTGTATTTGTTCCATTTTTCCCCTCAGGATAAATTACTGGAAGTAAATGTTGAGTCAAAGGATATATATTTGATACATATTTCCAAACCTGCTCTTTAGAAATTTGGTATGAAATTACACTCCCACTAATAGCATATGAGGGTATCAGTATTTTTACTATTTGTCATTCTAGTAGTTGAGAAATTACTTAAATTTGCTTCTTTTTTTCTGGGAACTAGTGAATTTAATGTACTGACGTGTTTATTGGCCATTTTTATATCTTCTATGAATTGCATGTTCTTTTTCTTTGCCACTTTGTCTCTTGTGGTCTTGTTCTTTTCCTTATTAATTTGTCTGAGATCTTTATATGTTAAGACACTAACTCCATCCTTTGGAAAATTGCTGTGTAGTATTAGTTTTTAGTTAGTCAAATATATCAGACTTTTTAAAATGAGTTCTGATTTTCAAGGTTTGCTTAAAGAAGTGTCACCCTGCCAACTATAAGCCCAAGGTTAAAAAGTATTCATCTGTATTTTCTTCTCATCTTCTTAAGTTTACCTGTGTTACATTTAATGAAATAAAATCCATCTAGAATTTATTTTAGTAATAGAAGTAATTCTTCTCAGCTTCTGCTTTCCACACATTTAAACCAGCAATAAAAATTTTTGCCTGAGGTTTCTTCTGTATTACATGTGCTTTTATAAAAGTCTAGCTGATGATTTTTTAAAAATCATTAAGCCCATCTACCACATGTTTAGCAACCTCTGTTCTGAGTTTGTCAGAAATTAGGCAAAGAGAAAACGCCTGTCATCCCATAGAAAACACCTCCAAATTCCTCTGTGGTTATAAATCCAAGTACAGTGGGAAGTCTTGGTTTTTTTGCGCTAGGGGTAAAATAATCCAGACCAGTATTGTTTGTGTGACCAGATATAATTATTTTCTATTCTGAAAATAAAACTTGGCACTTCTGTGATGTACTTGGCTTTCCTTACATCCCCTGCAGTGGTAAGGACTGGGCAGAAGCTCTTTCAAAGAGAAGCCCAGGCCAAATGACTTGGGATGCTTTGTCTTGGTAAGTCAGCGAGCTAGAGAGAGAGCGCAAATGTTGACAGAAGGCAGCGCTCTGAGTGCCTCCAAACACAGACCATGGGATGCTCTCTTGTAGGGTTGGAGAGCAAGGCTGGTTTTGTATGTTAGTACTCATAGAAATTTTTGCACTTAACTTCCTGCAGACACCATTTTTGAGAGAGGTTTAGACAAGAATCATTAGTACCCTTTAGGTAAGGTAAATGAAATGTTGACTACATTCCACTGGGCTCATGTATTACATTGTCATTGCAGACAAGCGGTTCCCAATGGTATGTGGTGAGAGATTATTTCTAAAGGTGGAAGGAGAGTTCGATAAGAGATTTACACAATTAGGCTATTGAAAAATGTCATCTTTGAGGATGGCTGAATGCAATGACAACGTGCTAATTCACCAGCGATGCCCACATCTCTGTTCTTCTACTCTTTTGCCCTTCTCTCACAGTGGATGATAGCACTGGAGTTATAAACTGCATCTGCTGGAAAAAGTTGAACAATACCGAATCTTCGTCAGGTAATTTCATTTGCGATGCTTCTTTGCTTTTCAGCTAATCGATGGATTTTATCCCGGGTAGCTCATCAGAACAGCTGTAGTGCTGAATTTACACATTTATCCACTAGGGCATTACATTGATCAACTTGAAGCCACGTGTCCGGAACTTTGGCTACTCTGCACACGGATGCTATAGGGGAGCCAGTTTTTCTTTCAACCCTTTCTTTGGTGCTCACTTCCTCATAAGCCTATGGGAAGGTGAATAGGTTACTAGGAGTTTCAGCATTTCATTTTTACCATGCCAGTTATTAGGCAAGTCAAGATGTTTTAGCTTAATTGCCAGTCAGGTCAGAATCCCCTTGCTCCAGGCGTATCACTTGACCAAAGAAGGTCTTGAAGACTTTTCCTTCTACATGGTTGCCACTAATTTCTGTGCTACCATGATCCAGATTTTCTAAAATCTCTACACGTACAAACAAATATGCCAGGAATTCTAAGATTGTTGAGAAAGTAAGAGAGGATTCCTTTGAAGTTAGCCATGAATAATATAAACTGAAAAAGAACTTTGAAATTGTATAGAGAACACATTGTAACACTGAAACAGCATTTGGAATTTCTTGAGAATATTTTAATAGTTCTTAGGTTCTTTTTATAAGTTGCTTTAAGTTCATAATATTAAAAAAAATATTGTGCCAGATTGGTAATCATTTTTGGTTCTAGAGAAGCTACAGAGACTGGGACCTTGTTTTTCTCTGTTTTACAGCATAGCAATATGGTGCCATACACAGTGAGGCTATTCAATAAATGTTGCCTGTTCTCATATCTAACATCCAATATCTCTCTCCTTGTGATATACATGGTAAGAATGTGTAACACTTGGAATGGTTTCTTTCCTTTTACCATTATCCGTCAGAATCTCAACTTCCTACTTTGACTATACCAACTGGTGGAATATTCCTTTGCTTAATTTTCTGGTGTATTTACTTAGAATTTGGCTGTCAGTTTCATATGATTTTGGTGTTCCCGTTTCCTAATTTTGGAACATCTAAATCAATGACACTGCTTTGCTTATGAAGCTTTGTAGCCAAAAAAATTAAGGGAGACAACAGGTTTTCATGCGGCTATCTCACAGGCAAGAAATAAACCTGTAAGACTATCAGATATTTGAATTTTCATATATGTCTAGGATATTAAAATCATTTGCAGATTTATGCTTGTTATATTGTCACTGTCTTCAGCAGAGGGTGTAGTTTGAACATGCATACTTGTTTCAGACCAAGGGTTGGTAACCTTTTTCTGTACAGGGCCAGATAGTAAATGTTTTCTGCTTTGTGGGCCGTATGGTGTGCATCTCAACTATTCAACACTGCCACTGTAACACAGAAGTAGCCATAGACAGTACATAAACAAGCGGGCACGGCTGTGTTCTGATAAAACTTTATTTACAAAAACAGGTCGTAGGTGGATTTGGCCCAAGGACTATAGTTTGCAGACTCCTGATTTAGACATTGTTTTAATTTTCTAAATCAACTCCTTTTTTTTAAGAAGTGACATCATCAGGAATATGCTATAACTCTGATACTTAGTAATTTTCTGGATAAAATGGCTGTTAATACTGAGAGTGAGATTTTTAAAATATCTGTAAGTAGATGAATAGATAAACAGTCACAGCGGGTAGCCTTAATGGGAAATCACATTGAAAATAAAAAGAGAGGGTAAGAACACAAAGGAAAAGCCTGAAAATGGTTCTCGTCACGTTATATGTGAAGTGATATTTTTAAGTTCTTCCCACTAGCCCATTCTCCCTTTTAATTTAATTTCCCTCAGTTTTAAAGCTTTCTGCTGGAAAGTGGCCAACAAAGACAAATTATTTCAAACAAAATTTAGTCTGAGTCAAAATCATGTTCCAGTCCATTAAGGTATAAGAATATAGTATTAACTCCTAGAAATTTCACATTGAATGTACCATTTGGACTTAGCTTATGAGAAAAGTTAAGAAAGCTTGGCCCTTAATGTTAGAATTTTAAGAAGAGTTTATCTATCAGGGTGGAATAGGCTAGTTAAAATGACATTCTGTCAGGCTCCAGCTGTCTCATTCTATTCATTAAATTACACCGCTTGAGCCCTGCTTTCATCAGTTTGGCTCACCCTTTAAATGAAAGCTGGGCCTCTTTTTCTCGGACAAGCCATCAGTCTGATCATTTAACGGTGCCATGTGAAGCATTTATTATCACCTATAATGTCTGAATAATGGCGGTGGAATTTATAAACACGTCTAAAATTCAACCTAAGCAGAAGAGGACTTGGGGATAGGAACACAGTTGGAATAACCTTTTAAAAAGTGATGCTCAAGGGGCCAGCCCGGTGGCGTGGTGGTTGACTTTGCACAGTCCGCTTCAGTGGCCTGGGATTCACTGGTTCGGATCCCGAGTATGGACCTATGCACCACTTATCAAGCCATCTGTGGCAGGTGTCCCACATATAAAATAGAGGAAGATGGGCACAGATGTTAGCTCAGGGCCAGTCTTCCTCAGCAAAACACAAAGGAGGTTTGATGGCAGATGTTAGCTAACGGCTAATCTTCCTCAAAAAAATAAAAGTGATACTTGAGCCAGCCCTGGTGATGTAGTGATTAAGATTCGGCGCGCTCACTGCCACAGCCTGGGTTTGTTTCCTGGTTGTGGAACCACACCACCCGTCTCAGTTGTCATACTGTGGTGATAGCTCACATAGAGAATTAAAACTAACAATGAGAATACACAACTAAGCACTGAAGCTTTAAAAAAAAAAGAGTAATACTTGGGTGTTTTCTGAAGAAACCCAGTAAGCTGAGTAACATTAACACTGATTGTGTCTAGATTCCTAGCTGTTGGTTCCCAGGTACACAAAGTCCATGCTCCCTAGGTTGCTGTATCCCTTGGTATAGAAGATATGTTCAAAGTAATGCCTTTGCACATTACAAAGCCACTGTTATCTAAGTTGTATTAGATTAAAAAGCAGAAAATTTCACCAGTAGACCACAAAAGAGAGTCATTCCCTAATATATGACAAACCAGAAATAATACAGTGTAGGAAACAAAACAGCCTTTAACAGATGTTGTTGGTTCAGGCAGATAACAATATTAAAAAAGAGGTTACCGTGATGCCTATCTTTCAGCTTACATAAAATAACCCAAAGGAGATCGAGTTGGATATTTATCCCAGAAAATTTGAGGGTATGTGTATATGTTAAGCTCTCATGAGTCCCTAGCTTTTAGAACACTGAAAGTTATCACCATTGACAAGAGAGATAGACTAAAAGAGTTTGTCACACTTTTGTGTAATAAAATGAAATCAAATAAACCTAAAAAGGAAAGCAATAGAATGGAGAGATTGGATGTAATAAGCATAACTGATAAAGCTTCCCTAAAAACTTTTCAGAAATTAACATAAAGTGTTCAAAAGAGATGAAGGGCTTATACGTAAGGAAATACAGAGAGTAGATCATCTTATATAAAAACACACAGCCTCCCTGGCAATTTAAGAGCAAAATAGAACATTATGGAATCTTTATGTACTTTTAAGGTATTAAACATCCAATGACCGAAGCCCAGTGTGGGAGTCATAAGCAAGCACACATTGAGGTGTCACCTTGTAAAAAGAGAATGGTCAGTTAGTTGTTGCTGGCAAACATTCTGACGATATGTAATGAACTGTAAACCTGTTTGTACTTTTCTATTCAGTGATCCCCAAAGAAAGACCTCAAAGAAAACAAAATAATTTTGTCTAAAGGGCTTAATTCTTTTTCGCAATAACTGATATTTATTGACTGTTTCCTATGGATCTGGCCTTGTGCTGAGCTGACAATGTAAGGATTGACTTCAATCATACACAACAATCTGTGTATGAGGTGGACTCTATTGTTATCCCCATTTCATAACTGAGGCACAGTGAGGTTAAGCAGCCTGCCCAGAGTCACACAGCTCGTAAGAAGTGACCCAAGATTTAAGCCAGGTCTGTCGGACTCCAGTTACCCAAGTGCTGACTTCTAAGCCCCCTTCAGCCCTAGTGATAAAAACCGAAATGAAAAATTATGAAAAGGAGGAGGGTGAAACATTTAATGAGACTACCTAAACAAACTGTGGCATGTTAACATGGCAGAATGCTATATTGTTATTTAAAATACCAGGTTGTATAGATTCTGTGGATGCATATGTGTATTTGAGATTATTCTAGGCAGAAAATGAGAACACAAATCATCGAAACACACTATCTGTAACTGCGGGGAATACAAGTATACTCATGGGACAGGCAGCAGAGAATTAAGAATAAGCAGGAAGGCTCTGGAGTCAGAGACTGCCCGGGTTCAAACTCCAGCTTTGTTGCTAACTAGGTGTTTTACTTTGGGCAAATTGCTTGACCTCTCTGTGACTCAGTTTCCTCATCTGTTAAATGGGGCTAATAATAAATAGGCGTGGTTGTGAGAATTAAATGTGCTAATACATTGTAAAGTCCTTACAATGGCACCTGTAGTACCCAAACGTTTGTGGCTATTCTTATTATTATTATTTAAATAATATAATTTGGAAGTAAAATTTAAGTGATAGAAATTATTTAGAATTGAATGTGCATTGGGTTCTTTTCACCATGAAGTTGCTTAAATTTGTGGTTTCAAGCAGTGTGTTTGTGTGTGTGTGCATGAGAGAGAGAGAGGAAGAGAGAGATTAGCCTAGTTACACAACAAAGGTGAGAGATGAGAGATTAGGGTGTTGAACGCCGAGATGGGAAATAGACAGAATCACAAGAAGAGACTCTTGGGCCCCTTTCCCCTTATGCCACACCTGTCTCCCCACAAGAACACTTTAAAGAGTTGTTTAGAGCTGTTGCCACCAAACCTAGCTGGACTCAAAGCAGAACTGAGCTCAGGACCCGCCGAGCAATGCAGGGGTAAGAAAGAAGATGTGGGAGCCATGTGGGAACTCGCCCACTTGGGTTGTCAAATCTTCTAGACTCTGACCCCTTCACTCTGCTTTTGAATAATTACAGCTTATGCCTTTTATTCAACAGAGGATTTCAAAAGGTTACACAGATTTTTTTTTTATAGTAGAGAAACTAATCAGAAGTAGAATAAGGAAATGTCTTATGTTAGTCTTACCCCAACACTATCTTATGAATGTGGTGGTGGGATTGTGTTATGCGTTTCTCTCTTTCCTTCTGGCCCGAACAGCTACAGCTGCTTCAAGTACAAGAGATCGGAGCTTAACCTCCCAGCTTAAGAAGCTGCAAGAGACCATTGAGCAGAGAACAAAGATAGAAATTGGGGACATTATCCGGATCAGAGGTTATGTCCGCACATACAGAGAAGAGCGAGAAATTCATGCTACTGCTTATTGTAAGCACAAGATGTTTCTGCCAAATTGGTTGTTATTCTGGGTTTGTGTCCAGTAAACTCTTGTTTTGCTATAAGTCAGACTTCTGAAAACTTCAGATAAAAAGTTTTGACTCTATTTAGTAGAGGAAATTATATTGCATAACATGCTTTCTTGAGAAAGGCAGCATTTCTTATTTTAAAGAGAGACAACAATAAATAAATTGGGAACGAAAACTATTATATGTAGTTGGCAAATTTATTTGGACAAGATAGAGTTTATAAAGTACTTTGAGGTTTTAAGTGTCAACCTATTTAGGGCAGAGTGTTCATATTCTTCAAAATGATGGAGATTTCTTGAACACCATTCAGTCCCTTAACTTTGAAAGAAAACAGCTAATCAGAAATAGGATAGGGGACTGGCCTCATGGCCAAGTGGTTAAGTTTGCATGCTCTGCTTTGGTGGCCCAGGGTTTGCTGGTTCGGTTCCTGGGCATGGACCTACACACCGCTCATCAAGCCATGCGGTGGCAGCGTCCCACATAGAAGAACTAGAATGACTTACAAGTAGGATATACAACTATGTGCTGGGAGTTTGGGGGTAAAAAAAGAAAAAAAGGAAGATTGGCAACAGATGTTAGCTCAGGGCCAGTCTTCCTCAGGAAAAAAGAAAGAAAGAAAGGGGATCGTTCTGTATCAGATGAGTAATGCTCTTTACACTGGCTCATTTTGCTTGGAAATCTCAAGGATGGCCCCATTGTCCACCATTGTAACAGATGAGTGAATACACTAATGTGCTTTCTGTAGTCTTGTCTCCTGTTGGCCAAGCCTGTGATCCCTCAGGCATTGCATTCCCCCTTGCAGGATGACTGGGAAACTTTTAGTGCATCTAGACTATAAGACCCCTAGGCACCCCCAGGAAGGAAACCCACCAAGTGCCTTGTTTACTGTGGTCCTCCAGCAATTTGGACATGGAAAAGAAATTATCTCGGTGTAATTTCTGTGGTGTATTTTCCCCCACGGCTTGTTAGATAAAGTGGACGATCCAGTGTGCAACATTCAAATTGCAAGGATGCTTGAGCTGCCCAGTATCTACAGAAAAGTTTATGACCAGCCCTTCCGCAGCCCAGCCCTAGAGAAAGAAGGGGCACTAAGGTAAGTTATGGCCTGTCACTTCAGCACTGGCTGAAGAGGTGGCCACAGCAGTAGGGCCAAGCCGTGGGAGCTCAGGTGCTGGAGTGGGCCTCGGTTCCAATCCTGAACTGCCTACTTACTCACCCTAGGGCTGCAGGCAAGTCCACTCACCCTCTGTCTGCCTCACTGTCCTTATCTGTAAAGTGAGGATGATACTAGGACAGGTGTTCTAAGTTGTGGTAAGGAAAATATATGTGTAATTGGAGTCCCTAAAGGACTGGAGGGAGCAGAGGAAAAATATTTGAAGAGGTGATGGCTGAAATTTTTCCAAGTTTGATGAAAGCTATAAACACAGATCCAAGAAGCTCAGTGAGCCCCAAAGCAAGAAATCTGAAGAAAACCTCACTAAGGCACGTCGTAATCAAAATACTACACCATGACACAGCATAATAAAAAGCTACAGAATATTACCAGTCGCTCTCAACCAGGGGCGATTTTACTGTCTTGTGTGGAGGGAGAAAAAAGACAGGAGGATTAAGAATATATGCATATTTGCTAGTATCTGTATCGAAGAACTCTGGGAGGAGACAGAATCCATAATAGTGCTGCCTAGGGGGTGGGACGTGGGGAGAGGATGGAAAGGACACTTTTCACTGGGTACCCTTTAACTTTTTCAGCATGTGTATATATTACATATTTGAAAAAATTATATTAAAAAAACTCCCAAACTGTAGTCCCATATAAAGTAAAAAGTGAAAGTTCTCCCATTTTCCTCTCTCCCACGTCGGCCCCTTTCCCCAGAGGTTACCACTGTTCCTGGGTTGATGTGTATCCTTCAGACTTTTTCTTCTGTGCGTGCACGAGCATGAATCTTCACCCATGTATTTTGTGGGTTGTCATTTGCTTTTTTGCAACAGTGGCACCATACCTTACATACTATTCTGCAGCTTGACTTCTTAATCTATCATGAGTTTCTTAGTTCCTCTTAGTTCCCAGAGTTCTGCCTCATCCTTTTAAACAGTCACACAGTGTTCTCTGTACGAATTGCCTTTTATGTCAAAAACAGGCATCCATTTAGTGTTGTGTTTCCTAGGTAAGTTTCTGTTTTATGCACACCAAAAAGGAACAAAGGTGATGGTTTTCTGCAGAGCTTTTTAAAACTTTCCCCCAGCAGCAATCCAAGCGCCCTAGACCTGGCCAGTCTCACGTGTTTGCTGAGTGAAAAAGCCAAAGAATTCCTCGTGGAGAACAGAGTGCAAACCTTTTACCAGCAGGAATTGGAAATGGTGGAGTCTTTGCTGTCCCTTGCCAATCAGCCTGTGATTCACAGCGCCTGCGCTGAGCAAGTAAGTGCAGCGTGCCGCCAGTGAGGATTCCAGTCCCTGCCCCGGGGCTGCAGCTGAAGGGTGTGGGTGAGCGGGACTGCGGGACTGTGGCATCAAGACTCCCACAGTGAACCCAGGGAATAGAGTTATGCTCTATCACATGTCTTTTCTATTCTGGAAAGGTCACTGACCACTGAGAATTTGAAGTGAAAGTGGACCTGCTCTTTCCTCCTCCTTGTTTAATCTTTGGGCAGAAAAAGAAAATAGTCTAAGGTTCGTAGTACTTAGTACTCACCAAGATGGGTATTTAATCTCAGCAGGAGCCAAGTGAGGGGGAAGTAGATGAGAAGAGATAATTACCCTTCCAAGGTTATTGAGCGATCAGCAAGATGATTCTTGAACTTGAACCAAGGTTGTTAATGACTTGCTCTGTCTTCTTCTGGATAAAGTGAACGTATTGTGTTTTAAGAGTTTGAATAAAGACCAAGTTGGAGTCAGTCTGATTTATAAGTAAAAATTTCAAGGAACTCTCAAGTAAATGTTTATTTGTCCTAGAAAAAGCTGTCCCCATATTTTTACCCCTAGTGAACTTAAGTTGTTTGATGTTGACTTATTTGCTTGGAATTAAGAATTATTTGAGACTGTGGTTTTAGGCTTTTGCTTTCATTGCAATTCTTAGGTTTTTTGTTATTGCAACACAACTCGTATTTATTTATTCCATTTATCCCACCAGGGAATGATCTCTGCTTAAATGTCACCTTCTTGCCCTCCCTAACTGCTCTGATAGCCACCTGCTTCCTCGCTATGTCATCACCCTGTTTTCATATCTTATGATATCACTGGTTTGTATTTGCCTCCCTCTTCTCCCGCCAGAACTTAAATTCTCTAAGAGCAGAGGTCTTGTCTGTCTTGTTCTTTGCTGTCTAGAACTAGGACCTAGAACAGGGCTGGCATAAAGTAAGTGCTCAATAATTATTTGTTGATTGAAGGAACAAATGGTGATAGTCCCCAAAAGTATCTCGTTAAAAGTAAGTTTTCTTCCCATCCTCCCTCCCACCCACTTTCGCTAGAGACAGGCACCACGACTAGTCTCAGGAACGTCTTTCTGGAGATGTTCTGTGCATATAGAAACTAGAAGTAGTTGCAGCCCTTTTTTACGCAAATGATAGCACTCTAAATACCCATCTATACCTAGCTTTTCATTGAACAGCACGTCTTAAAGCCAAGAGTCTTTCTTGGCTGTACATATAGATTTGCCAATATGTAATAGCTTTTGTTACATGTACCGTAATTTATTTAACCAGTCTCTCCATTCCTGGACTGTTTAAATGTTTTCCAGCCTTTTGCCATTACCAACAGGGCTGCTGTGAATACCGTTGTTCGGGAACGGAAGTTATTCTTCGTGATTCTGGTGGAACAGATACCGGGTCCCCATCCTGACCTCCTAGGCACGACCACTGCTTCTCAGTTTCGTTCACGAACCTAATTATCTCTTCCTGGCACCGGGCTGTGTGCCCAGTGACCCGAGATTTCATACACGGAGATGAGGGATATTGTTTCAGGAAACGCCCAGGTGGAGAGGGTCAGGACGGGCCGCTTTGTTCTGTGCCACTGTTGCTTCTAAACAGTTGCAGCTTTCCAGCTGTCCGCTGACAGCAAGGTTGACCTTCTTTCATTTAATCATTTAGAGGAGGCTCCACGCCAAGCTGGCCTCCTAGACTTCTGACCACTCTGTTGGCATGTTTGGAAGGAAACTTTGAAGCTTAACGAAGACCATATTCTTCCTGTGAACCAGCTCTTCTGCAATAACTATAATTAAGTAGAGAGACATGAGGCCTCTTTGAGGACTAAAAGCCTCCTCCATTGAAAACAATCCGTGGGGAACTTTTGGAAAATGCTTAGAGCAGAAACTTGTGTCTGCACAGTGCTAAAAAGAAATGAATATGGCACTATACTTGTTTTGTCTTTGGAAACTATTTTTCCATCAATTATGAATTATTCCCTCACATGACTCTGGTTGGGGTGGTCAGTGTCATTAAATTGAATTCTGTTTCCTAGAGCCTGGGAGACTAAGGCTGCTTTACAATGGTGGTGAAATCCTAGATCCTTTGGCAGTTTCTGTTGTCATACAGATGAAAGCCTCACAAAAAAATCATTGTGATTGTGTTATAGTTCAGAGGCCGGGAGAGCGCAGGTTCGAATGTTTTCTCCCCTTTTTTCCATGGTGGGCCTTTTAGCAAATCCAGAAACATGATAAGCAGACCTTGCAAAACCATTGTTTCTTTGACAGCTGGATAAATGTCGAGCTTGTTTAGGAATGAAGACTCTATATATTTCAGAGATCCACCCAGTTCCTGACCTGTGATGAGGAAAGGCCTGTTAAGGCTCACCACGGTCAACCCGGCACTGTTTTTGTCTCTGCGTAGTTTCAGTTTCCTGAATCAGATGAGTGTGTCATTGCTCTTTAGAAAAAGGCAAGAAAGACCCAAGGCCAGGAAAAGCTCCTGGCTGGATGAGATGATTGGAGCCTTTACCGTTGAGACAGTGTCCTTAAAACCAGCACAGAAATATGTCCCGAGGTCAGCTGAGGCAAATGTGTTTGGAAAGGAGGCTTTGCATACTGTTTCTGTTTACAGAGAGCCTTTTCTCTTGGGTCCTCCTTGTTCACAGCTGAAGCTGCACTCTTAATCTGCAAGCCTAGCACTCTCTCTTCCTGCTGCTGGATCTTACTGGAGTCTGGGAGGAGGAACCAGGCTTTTCTATGGTCTGGGGATAACCAAGAGTCATTCTTAATGATGGGAGTAATCGTGTGATAACAATCATTTCTAGTTAGTTTCCAATTTATTTCTGTCTTGGTAAGAGATGTAATCAACTTGACCCTTAGGATCCTTATATTAATTTGACTAAAAAACCCAAGTCTCCTTAGAATTATAAAGATTAAGTAGTTAAAAGTGTTGTGCGGAATCAATGTTGAGTTGATTGTGCTCCCCTAAGTAAGAGCACTCGTGTGAAATTTAAAACCCCAAAGCCCCCCTCAATAAAGAGATGTGTGGCTGAGGATTGCTAGGTGAGGTGTTTATTCTAAACGCACTCAGCACTCAAATAGCTTTTCTGCCCGTGGGAGTCGTCAGATATTTCTCAGCCTTCTCCCTTCAGAGAATGGCTGCCGTCATAACCCGGAATGTTTGTCCACTTTTAGGCCCCAATGTTGTAATGACCAGGTTCTTCAGCTTGTTCTGTTATGGAAAAACTTAGACTATTAATTTAATTAAGAGCGTTAGACTGTCCTTTTCAGCCCAGGAAAGCACGTTTGTGAAACATCACCAAGTTCTATTAGATTGAAACAATGCCTGTTGGGAGGCCACTTCTAGAAAGATAAGGTCTCTTTACAGATGAATTGTCAACGCTTGAGGCCATTTGGGGGTTTCTTTCCTCTGCCTGACATTTTGAGGAAATGTTGTCAGCAAATCTCAAGCACATCTCTCTTTCAGCATCTGTGGGTGCTGCCCCAGGTCACTGCCTTAAGGACCTTCCATTTGAGCTAGGACTTTGCCTTCAAACACTTTTTTGGAAGCTTTGCCATGTTTCTTTGGCACTCTGATCTTTTTAATGTCTTGACACATTTCTGTCACATTAAAAATAGATCTGTACTTTGAAGGACAGTTGTTGTTCACCACTTTCTTTGTTTTAGGAATGAACTGAAAATCCCCAGTGGAATAAGGCCACAGCCTCTATAGTGCAGTATTTCTATCCATTCATTACAAAAATATTTTCTTGGTCACCCACTGTGTTCCAGGGAGGAGATGGCTGAGATGGAGTACAAAGTCCCTGATGCAAGAAGATCGCAGTCCAGTTAACCATGCGGGGACATGGCTGGAAACCTAGCTTCCCTGGGAATAAGAAATGGGATGACTGGTAACCTCTCTAGGCAAACTTCTCTTAGAGAAGGGAAGAAATATTGAAATGGAGGAGAGAGCAAACTGACAGCAGCAGAGGTTCCTTCCATGTGGTGGTCTCACTTCCTGGAGGACCCCTGTCCACCTTCAGCCCGTGGACCACCTTTGACAGGTCTCTGCATAGCTGTTGCCTCCGTTCTCCTCCGTGTAAGAAGAGGGGACTAGTTAATACTTTCTACATGCTGGCATCCCTACTTTATTTCAGTGTGTGTAAAATTCTTTGAAGTCTTTAGGACGAGGTTGTGTATAGCCACAGTTTTAATTTTAACGTAAAAAATGAGCTAATCTGTATACAGTGTTTGTTCTGTATAAAAAAAAATAAAGGTTGTCCTTTTGATTTTCCGTTTTATATTGTCAAGTTAAACAAAAAAGAAATGTCACAACTAAGGTGAGGAACAGTTATCGATCGTGATCCTGCCGGAGCAAACTTCCCAGGCCTCCTTAAATACCGTCCTGCTAGGCTGGTGCTGACCTGGATCTGTCTGACTCAGCACTGAAAAGCCTGCTGGGTGAATTTGTAAACCAGTTGGTCTAGGGAGTTGCTCTCAGGTGCTGTAAGAAGGGACTTATTTCTTTTCTTCTTTTTTTTCCCTTTTTCCTCTTTCTATAGGTGGATTTTAAGAATGACACCACTTCCAAGGCAATTCATAGTATATTTAAGAATGCCATAAAGCTGCTGCAGGAAAAAGGACTCGTTTTCCAGAAAGATGGTAGTTTTGACAACCTATTTTATGTAAGAAACCTACAAGTGAATTTTTTTCCTTCCTAGCTTCAATTACAAATATATTTATTACTAATTGCTGTTCCTAAAAATGAATCATTAAGGAAGTACATAAAGTAAGGAGTGAAAGTTGGCCCTAAGCTTTTCCCTGGGTACTGCTTTTCACAGTATATCCTTTAGACATTTATCTCTGCATTTACAAATGCTCCTGTGGCTTTTTTGTTTTACAAAAAAAAAATATGCTCATCCTCTAAATGAGCATTTCTCAACCTCAACACTGTGAATGATTCTTTGTTGTGGGGGACTGTCCTGTGCGTTTTAGGATGTTTAGTGACATCCCTGGCCTTCAGCCACTAGATGCCAGTAGCAGCCCCCTGGTTGGGACAACCAAAAATGTCTCCAGACATTGTCAAGTGTCCCCTGGGACAGTTGAGAGGCACCTCTCTAAACAGTGCTCAGCAACTTTTTGTTGAGACCAAAATAGCATTTCATAGGCATCTTTCCAGGTTCGTACTTACACGTCTGCCTCATTCTTCCTGACATCTGCATGGTATTCTCTATTATGGGAACTTGCCATGAAGTTTTTAACCACTTCTCTGATGGACGTTTCTGTCGTTCCCAGCTTTTGCTCTCACAAATAGAGTTGCTGTGGCTATTTTTGCCCAACTCTCTTTGTGAACTTATGTATTTCTGTACGATTGACTCTTAAAAGAGGAATTGCTGGAGCAGAGGGCATGCACATTTAAGCTTTTGGTTGGCACCGTCTGGTTGGCCTCCCCAAAGGCTGTACCGATTGACACTCCCACCAGGGGTACGAGTGCTTGGCTCGCCTCCTACTTTCAGAGTTAAAAGTCCACCCCTCACTGCCCACCTCTGATATTGGAGGAGCCGAGCTGAAAGCTGGCCTTCTCATGACCATTGATAGCAGTCGTGTCGACGTGGCTTCAGTGACCGATGAGCCGTTCTCCTGGAGATAGATCAAACTTTGAGGAATCCCAGAAATCTCGCTATTTCCAGGCATGATTCCTGAGGGGACGCTTACCTCAATAGGACACTTTCTTGATGTTGATTTACTCCAGTGAGTCTCCATATTGAGAGAGTTTTGAAAAATTAGGATAGGTTCGGGGCTGGCCCCGTGGCCGAGTGGTTAAGTTCGCGCGCTCCGCTGCAGGCGGCCCAGTGTTTCGTCGGTTCGAATCCTGGGCGCGGACATGGCACTGCTCGTCAGACCACGCTGAGGCAGCGTCCCACATGCCACAACTAGAGGAACCCACAACGAAGAATACACAACTATGTACCGGGGGGCTTTGGGGAGAAAAAGGAAAAAATAAAATCTTAAAAAAAAAAAAAAATTAGGATAGGTTTTAAATACTGTTTGAATAACTTTTGAAAGGATTATTCCAGTCTGTGTGAGGTGAGTGTGGTCCACCCCCTCCCGGCGTGGGAAGGCCTGGTGGCGGTTGTGAGGCTGGAGAAGCTCATGCGGGCAGCTCACCTTAAACCCCCCCCAGCCCAGCCAGTCCTGTTTCCCCTGGGAGCTCTGGGGTCAGCCTCCTGCGTCTGTAAGAAGCAGCTCACCTTAAACCCCCCCCCAGCCCAGCCAGTCCTGTTTCCCCTGGGAGCTCTGGGGTCAGCCTCCTGCGTCTGTAAGAAGCAGCTCACCTTAAACCCCCCCCCAGCCCAGCCAGTCCTGTTTCCCCTGGGAGCTCTGGGGTCAGCCTCCTGCGTCTGTAAGAAGCAGTGCTTCCCGAGGAACAGCAGGACCGAGGGCAGCAGTCCAGGGCCGAGGTGTGGCGGGGCTGGGCACTTCCTGCGGTGAATCAGTCTGAGCTGGAAGGGCGTGATCAGGCAATAATAGCTCTCTTTTCCTCAGCAGACCCCACCCACTTCTTTGACTTCACTTCTCCCCTTCCACCTCAGCCTGGCCTTGTAGGTTCCTGTATTCCTGAGGGCCTCGCCTCAGGGAAACGGTTATCATAGTAATGGAGATACTTCTGTTTGTCTAGTGCTTTCTGCAGCTCTCACCCACTGTGACCCTCCTTAATCCTCATAATAACCTTGTGAGAGAGAAGGCAGGCTTGTCGTTAGCCCCTTCTATAAATCTGGCCATTCTCTAAGTCTGGTCCAATAAGCATTCCTGATCTGCGTGTTTGTTTGCATGCTTCCCTTTTTTTTTCCCTTCCTTTCTTCCTTCCTCTTTTCCCCTTTCTTTCTTTCCTTTCTGTCATTAGATTTACTGCTGAACATGAAGGTGAAGCCCGCTTGGTTGCTGCTTCTGTCTTTCCTGAGCTGGTTGAGAAAGGAACTGGGTTATGTTTACCTTCGAGACCAGAAAGTGTTTCCAAGGACAGACTAGATGTACTCCCATCTTGACTTTTCCTCACAGTTTTTATTTCTTTTGTTTGTCTTGGTGGTTGGGAGAAGGAAGAAAACTAATGAGACACAAGACAGATGTCAGGCCCCGGAGGAAGGAGTGCCGGGGTGGAGATCGGAGTCTTTGATCACTTGTGCCTCCCTCAAAAATATAGCAACAAATGAGAGAAATTTTATGACTGTGTTATGAATATTTAAGAAGACAGTTACCCCTTAAAAGTATGGAATTCCAGTTTTTCTTTCTCTCGCGGCCCCAGTAAACCACCTCCTGAGGGAGTGTGCCTCTGGGCCAACCACAGGGCAGTGAGCTGGTTGGGGACACAGCTGGTTGGACAGTAGGCCACATATCAAAAGCCACATTGTTGGTGTAGGGTTGGTGATTGTTACAAAATCTTTAGAAATTATTCTAGATATTAATTTTGGAGTCTGGATGACACAACCACTGTGTTACTTAAGAATGCTTTCTCTCCGAACTGTTTTTCCTATTTAGGTAACCAGAGAAGACAAAGAACTGCACAGAAAGATCCACCGGATCATTCAGGAAGACTGCCAGAAACCAAATCGTAAGTGGGGTCATGTACAGGTAGGGCCCTGGTGCACTGGAAGGGGCTGTTCCCTCCCAGGGCCACTGGATGGAGAGTCAGGAGACCTGGGGCTTTCCCGAGTAGTAACTTGGAGGTGTGACTCCTCAGGACACCTGCCCTCTCTGGGGCCCAGGTTCTTCCTCTCTAGAGTCAGTGTTAGGCTCGCACTGTTGTTCTGACCTTGGTTGCACATGAGGTTCAACCTTGGAGCTTTTTTGAACATACAAGTGCTCAGGTCCTACCCCTGGGGATTCCGCTTCCAGGCGATGGGATGGAGGCTCGACAGATGAGATCCTCAGCTGACCCTGAGACAGTGAGGTGAGCCACCACGAGGAGTTTTTGACGTCCTTCTGTCTGATTTGTGTTGTTTCTTGTTCTTCTCTTCTCCCTTGTCTTTGAACCCAAACCTGACATTTTCCTCTCTTCTAACATCAAGCCTTTTAGTGTTGGAAGGAATGGTTCTAGACGTTGCGGTTTATGAACGGTGTCATTGAGTCAGCTGGGAAACTGATAATTTACAAAAGAAATGACTTAGAAAATAGTTGGTCGTAGTGGAGTTAGGTCAGCCCCTAGTGGTTAGAAACGCGAACTGTAGATAGTCTCACAACAGACATTACCATTTCACACTAGTTGGAAAGAGAAGAAAGCATTAGTCCTATCTTTAAATCCTTTGTAGACTGATCAGTCTCAAAGGTGACTTTTCAAAGTCCACCTTTTACAAACACATGCTGATAACAGATGTTGGCGTATGTCAACGAGTGACGCAGGAAGAAAGGTGGGAAGGCTTGTTGATGATGGCAGGTCTCCTCACCCTGCTTTCTTTTTCTTCGAGAAGTGCACCTCCATTCCTTTCAGCCCGTACATCCGTGGGGCCTGGACCTGTTCCAGACTGAGTCAGTGGGTGGGGCTGGATCAGGTCTCCAGCCCTGGTGTTTGTGGTATGCAGCCCTCTGTAGCCTTTAAGAACCGGTGAGGTCAGATCCCAGAGTGGTGTTGACAACAGATCTTAAAATAAACTGAAAGCAATCTATTATTTTTCTTTCTTTTCTTTCTTTCTTTCTTTTTTTTTTTTTGGTGTGGAAGATTGGCACTGAGCTAACATCTGTTGCCAATCCTCCTCTTTTTGCTTGAGGAAGATTGTCACTGAGCTAACATCTGTACCAGTCTTCCCCTATTTTGTACATGGGATGCCGCCAGAGCATGGCGTGATGAGCAGTGTGTATATCTGTACCCAGGATCCAAGCCTGTGAACCCCAGGCTGCCTAAGCAGAGCACGTGAACTGAACGACTACACCACTGGGCTGTCCCCAAAAACAATCTGTTATTTTAATACAAAGTTTCTGGCTGTTGTTTACTTCCTTCAGAGCAATAAGGACAAGTATCCTTTAGTTGGAGAGAAAACGCGTCTATCCACAATTTAAGGTGCTTTTTTTTTTTTTTTTGCTGAGGAAGATTCTCCCTGAGCTAACATCTGTTGCCAGTCTTCCTCTATTTTTTATGTGGGTTGCTGCCACAGCATGGCTTGATGGGTCGTGTAGGTCTGTGCCTGGGATCTGAACTTGCGAACTTGGGCCACTGAAGTGGAGTGCACCAAACTTAACCACTATGCCACCAGGCTGTCCTCTTACAGTGCTTTTAAGAGCAGTGAAATATGAGATTCCTCAACCAAGAAAGGATGAGAGGCCGTTCCCCAAATAACATTCCTGCACTCATCACAGTCCCAGGCCACCTGGCCATTCTTAGTTTGATCTGCATTAGGAACAGAGTAGATTGAAATAATCCTAGGGCCTGGTGAAGCAAATGGAAGGAATTCACATTTGGTTTCTTAGGAGAACCAAACCACCTCAGTGACCTGAGGGTCTGTGAAAGTGGCAGGTTTTCTGTCCACTTTTAACCCACCGGCCAGCCCCGATGAGTATGTGTCAAGGTAGACAGGCTCTGCCACTCATCCTGTGAACGGGATCCTCTCAAGGCCATGAGCCAGTCCTCTGGGACTAGTCAACTCCCAGGGCTGAATTCTGGAACATGAGTAACTGAGAATGCCAATAAAAATATCTCGTAGGGACTGTCTTGGAATCTGCTGCAACTACTTCTTTTCATAGCAAATATCTATCACATTAAAAAAATTATTCCGAGTAATAATGTACACACGTGGCGAAAAGTCAAACAGTGCAAAAACAGAAAAGTCAGACTCCGTCCCACTGCTGAGCCTCAGGCTCTGTGTTCCCCTTTCCAGAGGCAGTGGTTGTTACTAGTTTCCTGCATGTCCTTCTAAAGATGTTATGTGCACTTAGAAACATGTGTAGTTCATCCTTTTTAAAAAGCACACAGAAAGGTTAACATACAATGCTCAGTGTTCCACACCTCGTATTTTAAATCTAGCATTGGCTTCTAGAGGTCATTCAGCAATAGTACATGTAAAAGTACCTCAGTCTTTTTAATAGCTGCACAGTATTCCATTATATGTATTTATTTAAGCATTCCGACTGGGCCTTGAGTTCGTTTCTTCCCTTCATACAAAATGTAGCATTGAGTTTTCCCTTGGTTGGAATGATTGGTAGGGCGACTTAAAATCTTTAGTCATTTATGAGTATCTCAGCAGAGGCCAAACCTACAATAGCAAAAGGACTGTAACCATGAGGCCAGCTGCCTAAAGATGGGCCATGTGGCATACTTATGAGGAGCTGGGCTCAGGAGCCACCCTGCCAGGGTTTGAATCCCAGTTCTGCCACTTTGTAGCTGTGTGACCTTGGGTGAGTCTGTGCCTCAGTTTCTTTATATGCAAACTAGGGATAATAATGGTACCTACATCATGGGTTGTTATAAGGATGAAATAACTTGGTGTTTTGCAAAGCTATTAGGACGATGGTAGAATAGGAAGCACCAGGAATCTGTCTCTCTGCTTAGACATCTATTGCATCTGTCTGATGTAACTATTTTGGAACTCTGGAGTGTATTGAAGGCTTGCAACTTCCAGAGGAAGGCTTGGGCGGTAAATTGGGGTTAATTTCAGTCAATGTTCAGCTCTTAGTTGCAGTTACCCATCCCCCACCTTCAGCCACATGGGAGGCAGCTGTGCACTTGTTCCTGGAGCAGCTTGCACAGAGCTTGCAGAAACTGGGGTAGGCAAAAAAGACTTGGTCCTCCAAATATCAGGGATCTGTGCTCTAATTGCTGATTGCTGCTTCTGATCACAGAGGTGCAGACAGAGGTAGGTGACCATTGTTGTAACTCCCCTCATTGTTGCTACATCTTCCCCAAGAGCTGAAGTGACTTCTAGGGGATTTAAAAGACTGGGCCCTTTTTAAAAACTCCCTTCACTTTGCTTTTTTTCCCCTTTTGGGAGCCAGAAAAGAAAAACTAGGGCATTCAAAAGCAATTGCATATATGAGGAAAATTAGAAAGTGACCACACATACCCAAGGAGAGGCACAGGCTCAGGAAGAGACCTGAGAAGACCTTAAGTTTACACCTCAGGCTGATCGTTGGCACAGAGACAGCCTACAGCAATCAAAAAAAAACCAAAACAATTAGCAAAAACTAACAAAACCCAGCAAACTCTGGGGAAGGAAGAAAATCTGATCTCTCCAGAATTATCACATTATTAGATTCAACTGTTCACAAGACATACACATACAATCACAAGACATACAAAGAAACTGGAAAGTACGGCCCATTCAAAGGAAAAAATATATCAACAGAAACTATCCCTGAAAAATACCTGTGGGGCCGGCCCCGTGGCCAAGTGGTTAAGTTCGTGTGCTCCGCTTTGGCAGCCCAGGGTTTCGCCAGTTTGGATCCTGGGAGTGGACATGGCATTGCTCATTAGGCCACGTTGAGGCGGCATCCCACATACCACAACTGGAAGGACCCACAACTAAAAAATATACAACTATGTACTTGGGGGATTTGGGGAGAAAAAGCAGGGGAAAAACAGAAAAGAAGATTGGCAACAGTTGTTAGCTCAGGTGCCAATCTTTAAAAAAAGAAAAGGAAAGAAAAATACCTGATGATAGATCTACTAGACAAAGACTTTAAAACAACTGTCATAAAGATGCTCAAAGAACTGAAAGAAGATGTGAAGAAAGTCAAGAAAATGATGGATGAACAAAATGGAACTGTCAACTGAGAGATCGAAAACCTGAAAAGAAACCAAAAAGAAATCCTGGAGCTGAAAAGTACAATAACTGAAATGAAAAATTTACAAGAGTGATTCAGAGGCAGATTTGTGCAAATAGAAGAAAGAATCAGCAAAATTGCCCATTGAGTACAAGTGAGCAGAGCCTCAGGGATGTGTGGGACACCATCAAGGAGATCAACATATGCCTTGTGGGAGTCTCAGAAGGAGAAGAGAGGAAGGGGCAGAGAGAATATTTGAAGAAACAATGGCTGACAACTTCCCTAATTTTGTGAAAAACATGAATATAAATGTCTGAGAAGCTCGGTGAGCTCCAAATAAGATGAACTCAAAGAAACCACACTGAGACATGATATAATCAAACTTTTGAAAGCCAAAGACAGAGAATCTTGAAAGTAGCAAGAGAGAGGCAACTTATCATATACGAGGCATCGTCAGTAAGATTATCAGCAGATTTCTCATTAGAAACTTTGGAGACCAGAAGGCAGTGGGCTGATATATTCGAAATGCCAAAAGAAAAAAAACTGTAAACCAAGAATCCTATGTCCAGCAAAACTGACTTTCAAAAGTGAGGGAGAAATCAAGATAGTCCATGATAAATAAACACTGAGGGAATTTGTTATGGCTAGACCTGCCCTGCAAGAAATACTCAAGGGAGTTTGGCAGAGTGAAGTGAAAAGACAGTAGATATTAAATATTTCACTACCAAAAAAATCAGCTAAACATGAAAGAAGCCAGTAACTTAGGAAATAAGGGACAAAAAACTGTAAGGCATATAGAAAACAAATAGCAAAATGACAGAAGTAAGTCCCCCCTTGTCAGTAATTACTTTAAATGTAAAC